GTTACCGGCGGGGCGTGCTGGTTCCTTAGAGACCGAACCCGGGCTGGGCGGCGGCGGAGAAACCGCCGAGACAGCCCGCCCTTGGAGAAGCCAAGATGCCGATTAGGGGCAAGAGGAAAGGCAAGAACAAAGACAAAGACAAGCTTCTTAAGAAGTAAGGAGAACCCACGCTGGGGTCCTCTCCCGGGATTCGGGCCCGGGGGCCGCAGGGGTTGGCTGACTGGCACCTGGCCGCCCGCTCTCCTGGACTTTTCTCTCGCTCTCCCGGATTCTGAAGACAGTTCCCATTGTTCAGAGATTCCCAAATGCATGCCCGACTTGACTGCTTCAGCTTAGCCACTAGGATGAGATTTGGGACCCTGACGTCATTTAGACACAGCCCCTACCTATGTGTAATGCATTAACGATGGAGGCAGACAGGTTCCCAAAAAATAGACCAAATGAAATAGGTGCTTGTGGAGGAACAAAGAGCTGAGAATGAGGAGGAAGAGGTCTGACACGAGAAGTGAAAGCCAGGATAACATTTATTGGGATATTGGAGGTCCTCTACACCAGCGCTGTCCAATAGGGTAGTCACTGGTCATTGTGGCTACATTAAAATTAAATTAACAATTCAGATCCTCAATTGTACTAGCCACATTTCATAACCTCAGTGGGCACATGTTGCTAGCGGTAACTGTATTGGACAGCCCAGACATCTAACATTTTCATCATTACAGAGAGTTGTATTAGACAGCAGTACTCTAGATGAGCGGTTCTTAACCCAGGGTGATTTTGCCTTCCAGGGCACATTTGGCAATATCCCTGGAGACATTTTTGATTGTCACATCTGGGAATGTGTGCTATTGGCATTTAGAGATGAGTAGAGATGCTGTTTTACATCCTGCAATGCACTGGACAACCCCCTCACCCCCCACCCCAAAGAATCATTTAGCTCAGAATGGCCGCAGCGCCAGGGTTGGGAAACCCTGCTCAAGACTATAAACTTCTCTACAATAGGCACTGAGCATTATTCACCATATCTCCGGCACCTAGCAGAGAGCCTGGCACACAGCAGATGCTTATTATTTGTTCAATAAATAAATTAAGGTATCTGCCTGTGTATGCTTCAACTTAGATGTTTATTCCACAAGAACTGTGCTCTGGGTTCATTCTTTCTTGATCCTAGTCTGAGATCTCTCTACTGTGTGGTTGAGATGATCTTGAACATCTAAAGGATCTCTCTCAATGATTGAAGCAGTTCCTTGGGTCTTCTAGGGATTCCTTTTGGTTCAAAGGAAAGAGTAAAGGATTTGACCAAATTGGCTAATTGTTCAGATTTCTCCAAAATGATCAGAAATAACTGTAGCATTAATCCTTTCCAGGTTTGGAGCTGCTGCTAATTGTCACTTAACCTATTAGGTGGCCCTGGTAGTTACCAGACACATTGGAGTCATACATGGTGTCCAACAATACTATATATGGGACTATAAGAGAATCCCCAAACTTGTAAAGTTTGTGAAGTTACTTGTTTAAGAGAGTAATAAATGCTCAGTACAGAAAGTTTAGGAAACATGGAAAGTCAAAATAGAATATAAAAATCACCTGTAATTCATCATCCAAATATAACCACTACTATTATTTGGGGATATTCTTTTATCTTTTGGAAATGATAGCCTAGTGTACATACTTATTTGTAACTTTCCCCATTTATTAATATAAGTATTCTTCTACAGTGTGACTTTTAAAAAAAACACCACATAACTGCATAGTTAGTCTAGCACTTTTAAAAAGTGCTAAGGGCGGGAGAAACCAAGATGGCGGCATAGGTAAAAACCGGAAATTGCTACCTCACACAATTATCCAGAACCACAGGAAGGCTGGCTGAGTGGAAATTCTACAACTAGAAGGAAAGAGAAAAGCACTGAGACTCAGAGGAGGTGCGGAGGCCCATGCCGAAAGGGCTGGCAACTGAGGACACGGTGCACATGGAAAGGGCTGGCAGCTGAGGACGCGGTTGTCTTTTTCAATCGGGAGGGAGTCTCAAGCTCCCGACTGCTCTGAACTCCAGTTCCGGGCTAGTCTCTGGGGACCCAGACTCATACGGGGA